TATCATGTTCCTTGATTCTCTGCATTTTTGTGAGACAGATCATACACTCGATGCTTTGATATCCTCTGTTGCTGTTAACAGGAATGAAAGCTTGAACGCAGGGGGAGATTGTTGGGCCTCGGCCCACTGACATCTCGACAGAACTGATCAAAGCCCACTCACAATCGAGCCCAAAAAGTCCATTGGTCACCATCGAGATTGCTTGAGCGTCTTCGCCTTCATTCCCAAAATCCCTAGCTATCAAAGCTGCCTGAAACATCGACTTCCCAGACACTCGCCATCAAAATCATTTCTCCCGAAAGACTCTGTCCAACGGTCCTCACATTGAAGAAGAGAGAGAGATAGTTCGCAGAGGCTTGCCGAAGATCTTTATAAATGGCACAAGATTGAAGGAGAAAGCAACGGTTTCCTCTATCAGGAAGAACTGGTCAGTTCTTGGGATAGTAGGGTTGGGTTCTTAGGTGTGTGTCTGGATTCGTAGAGTTGGGGCTTTTGCCAGGAACTCTACGCAATCTGGGCGTAGCTCTCTGGTTGTTTGCCTTCTGCCTTCTTTGCTTTTTCGGATTTCTTTTTCTTTAAACTTGCAGTTATTGTGAATTATCTAGTCTTGTCGAACCAGTTCATCTGCTTCTTGTTGTGAATAAATCGTTGTCAAATCCTGTAAAAGGGATGGGATAAGACACTGGTATTCAACAAGAACTTTTGACCGCTGAACTTGAGTTGGCTATCCAAGGTATCTGATCTCCATGTCCATAATGGATACACATAGGAAGGAGCTAATCTCCTCAAACTCTCGGTCCGACACATTAGCACTCACACACCAAAGATATGTGTAAGTTCACCCACTGACCACTCATAGCACCATATCCATTCAGCACTACAGTCAGAAATAAATGGAATGTGAGAGGGGAAACCTAAGCACTCAGAGACCATGGAGGGAGGAAAAGGCACTCTTAGCTTCTATTTTGGCAGAGAACCTCTCGGCGAAAAGGACAAAAGGCAAGGTAAGAGAGGATCGCCATGTCGAATTTCGCATTGTGGTTGGAAGTATCTATATTCAGCTCCATTCATCAAAACCGAGAAGTGAACTATAGTGACACAAGCTTTGCTCGATCCAACCTAACCACATGTCACGAAAGACAATAGTTGTGAAGATCGCGAAAAGAAACTTTCTTTCGACCCTGTCATAAGACTTCTCCATATCCAGCTTGAAGTTCATCCACTTATCTCTACCATTCACTTTGGTCTTAAGGAATTGCATAACCTCATGCTCGATAAAATGTTATCTGAAATGGAGCAACCTCTGATAAAATCATTCTGAAAATGACTGACCACAAACATAAAAAAAAGCACTTAGGCGACACGCAAGGATTTTGGAAATAATTTTAGGGTAATTTTAGGGTAATGACCACAAAATATTTTTTATGAATTACGAAAAATTTGGCTAATTAATAGCATTTTAATAGGTTTGAATAATATTAAAGAATTTAAAAAAAGTTTGGATAAAAAATAGACATTACCCATAATTTTATATAAAACTTGATAGGTTGCATCTGCTTCATAGTCTTCGCATCTAGCATCTTAGGGGTGACGGAGATCCAAGTGTGGTTAATGCTATGAAGTAAGTGGTATGTTTGAAAGAAATATAACACAACCAGACACACATTAGGACGAATGACACCCAAAATATATGAAAGAAAACAACGGCAATCCTGTGAAACCATGAGTTTGGGAAGCCCCAATGCTAAAGACATCTCATTTTATTTTCTCCCTAGAGAAAAGCATGATCAATGAATTGTTCATATCCTCCGAAATAACTCAATTGAGCAATAAGTGATCCAAGGAACCTTGAGGGTTTGACCTCATTGGAGGAGAGTAGGTTCTGGGCATATGATATTGAGATTGTTGTCTTGGATTCTTCTTATGTATGTATAACCACCTACTCAACACGGACCATATGAATGGTGTTGCTTCGACGAAGGTGTAATGGAGCAAGGTGGAAAAAATGACTGTTAGCATCCGTCTTGGATGGGATGTACCCATAACTTTTGCTTCCAGTAAACCTCCTCCTGGGTCACGAATATCACGGCGTAACCATGATATTTCTCTCTTGGTCTGACATTTGCTCTGGATGTCGTATAAGTGGTTTGACAACCATGAGCGGAACACCTAAATTCATTCACACTATTTTCTTTGTAGGTATTACCTCGTACCGGATCAATACAAGCAATCAAATCACGAAGCACATGTCCTTCGAGTGCATATGAAGATACACCCTAACAAAGCTTATGGATCATCACTTCATAATCACCTTCCATGATGAAGCAAGGTGGGGACTTGTAAACCACAAGTGAAATGGAATCCCTTGCTACAAGTAGCTTTACGAGGTAAGGATTAGCTATGCCGGAGTGTTGGGATCCTACTGCCAACAGCCGAACACAACATGCTCGTTTGCCCCATGAACAACCAGGCCAAACGAGCAACCAGAATCACGAACAACAACATCAAAGTTGATATGCAGGAAATCATACGGAGGAGGAACCCAAGAGGTAGGGCGAAAAGACGAAGGGTGAGGAGGAAGAACTGGAGAGGGATGGAGCGAGGAAGACACTTCAAGGACTCGAAAAAACATTGACGGGCTATAGAAGGGGCATGTGATTGATAATGCTCAAAGATCACCTTCTTACGAGCCTTCCAGATCCTCCACAACATGCATACGCATTGGAGAATATGGGTTGATGGGTGTTCAGAAAGCATAGCATGTCGCCACTAGAGAGAAATTCACAATTGCAGTCGAGGTAATGACAGATTAGTATCGGGTGATCAAAATTCTTATGTATGGGGTGATCAAAATTCTTCGCCGAGCCCCACTATAATCTGACCACATGTGACATGACTATTTAGACGCCGACAATTTTCCTTCGGGATCTTAAAGCAAAGCATGCCATGAACTGACAGATTAGTACCAGACATTCTAATTAAAGTATTCTTACCAACTTCAGACAAGGTTCATTGTTTCAACCTTGATGGGTTTCTCTTCCATGAATGAAAGAATTCCTTCTTTGGTCTAGAGATGATGAGGGGAGCCCAGATAACAATCTTGTTCACTTATGCTGCCCACACCTAGTTGAGAACCTAGTTCCAAGGCGAGAGCGGATCCAGTGACTAAGGGGGGGAGGGGGTGCTTAGTCACTTGACTAAGCCCCTCCCAGCCCTTAGATCTGGACACTTCAATCCAATGGTTAAAAAGTGGGAAGGACTATTTAATTAATGACAGGGGTAGTTTGGGTATTATGGAAAATTACGAAGTATACAAACCGGATTTACAATCAGTACAAACCATACAAACATACGAACAGTACAAGCTAGATCAACAAAACATACAAACATTACAAACGTATGAACTGTACAAACAATACAAACTAGACCGACAAACAATACAAACCATACAAAAAGAAAAAACAACCGGGTTGACTTTGGAGGCTCCATCCCTATATAGAGGGGCTCCTTCCCAAAGTCAACCCGGGTGTTTTTTAGACATACAAATAGTACGAACATGGTGGACAAAAATGACAAACTAGACCGACAATCCATACGAACGGGAAAAAACACTCGGGTTGACTTTGGAGGCTCCATCCCTATATAGAGGGGCTCCTTCCCAAAGTCAACCCGGGTATTTTTTAGACATACAAACATTACGAACATGGTGGACAAAAATGACAAACTAGACCGACAATCCATACGAACTGGAAAAAACACCCGGGTTGACTTTGGAGGCTCCATTCCTATATAGAGGAGGTCCATCCAAAAGTCAACCAGGTTGTTTTTTAGACATAAAAAACATTACAAACATGGTTGACAAAAATAACAAAGTTTACAAACATGATGCACAAAAACAACAAAGTTTACAAACATTACAAAAAAACCCGACAAACATTACAAAATAACAAAGCATACAAACATTACAAAATATGCCAACAAACATCACAAAATTAGCACTCTCGCCGGGAAATTCTTCTCCGGCGACGATGTTCGCCGGAAAAAATTTTCCGACCAGAAAATCTCTCTCTCTCTCTGGGGAATGGAATAATGGCGCCAGGGGGAATGGGATAATGGCGCCCATTCTTTCTACTGAAATTCACCGGAGGCGGCGCGGGGAGGCGACGCAAAGCTACGGAAATTCACCGGAGGCGACGCAAAGGGACGAGACGAAGCAGATTTTTTTTATTTCTTTTATAATTAAAAGTTAAAAACAAACATGGAATTACTACATTACCCTTCATAAAATTGGACTAATAGGAGCCCTTGGATTTTAATGAAGTTGAGTGGCTGAGATTCACTTAGCCATGTGACTAAGGGTAGGGGTGGCTATACGGTCCGGTCCGGTTAAATTGGACCAAATTGATCCGGTCCAATCCGGTTTTTTTGAAAATATAAGGACCGAAGATTGGATTGGATACAGTCCGGTCTTGATCCGGTCCGGTCTTGGCCCGGTCCGGTCCCAATTCTGTCTTGATTTTATATTGAGATTGTGGGAATTTGAGTGGCCTAAGGCCTAAAAGGGCAAGGAGTTGGTTAACTTTTGTACTAAGTGCAAAGGTTTGTGACCGTTTATGCAAATTACCCTTAAGTTTTGGGTGTTGAGCTCTCTTATCCGGTCTTTATCCGGTTTTTTACCTCAAATCTAAGCCCAAAGATTGGATTGGATTGTTTACTATCCGGTCCCGGTCCGGTCTCGGTCCGAGTTATACGGTCCGGTTTCTGGTTTTTCATCCGGTCCCGGTCCAAATAGCCAGCCCTAACTAAGGGGGTGACTAAGGGAACCTGATCTTGGCCCTTCCAGGGCTTGATCTACTAAATAAGAGAGCTGATTTGTGCGATTGACACGTTGACCAATTCCAAGTCCATGACTGTTAAAATTGTACCAATGGAACGGTGTAATTTAGCAACGACTCTTCCACGCATCAAAGTTGCCCAATCAAAGGCAAACGTCTTAACAAGGGAAACTAAACCGAATCAAATTGATTATGTTATGTTAGCCATTTCAAACCGAGGAGGAGAGAAATTGAATAATCTACTTAAAAAAGGCGGAAGAGCTGCGGAACAGCGGAAGCAGCAAAGAAAGAGAGAGACGGACGGACAGAAAGACAGAGCAGCAACACAAGTCACAAGGTGAAGGAGACAAATTTCTGCGCTCTCATCTTTGCGTAGTGGAGTTCATCTTGGGTCAGCTTCAACTCGTTCCGTGCTGAAACGCCTCTGTGCCCAATTCCGACTCCCCACCCACTGAACCAAAAGATCACCAAGTTTTATCGATTTGCTGCTCAAAAGAGGACAAGGGTCTCTTTTGATTAGCACCTTGAAATTTCCCTGATTTCTTTCTTCTTACTCATTGGCTTCTGCTGAGTTCTACTGGGTTGGCCGGAGATTTTGACCAATCGAAGTTTTGTTGTCCACCAGCTACTTCTTCTGGAGCTTGAGATGTTCAACTATTGAATTTTAATGGGCACAAGGTAATTTCTTTTGTCTTCTGTTTCTGGGCTTGTAGCATTTTGCACTTTTTGGTTCTTCCTCGTATCAATCAAAAGCACGAATCCCCAATAGTTTTTTGGTCTGCTCCTTTGACTGATAGTAGATAGTTCTTGTTCACGCTGAAAGTTGCTTGCTTGAATGACATCAGTGATCATATAATCATGCTTACATATTGTTCGAGGAAACTTCTTCTATCATTGCTTTCAGATTGATTCCCAGCTCGTATTGGATTCGTTGAAGTTGTTCTTTAGTTAAAACTGTTTTCCCTAATGTAACGGTTCTTGAGCAGGAAATAATGGAGTCTCCATGAATGTGGAAATGGGTCGTCGTTTGGTAGCTCAGAATCTTTCTATTGATACTCTAATGTAAAGTTGTGTAGTTGGATATCATTGGTTATGTTCTTGTGTAGCTTCCCCATATGGTTTGGTATAGGAATGCACAAGTCGATAAAAATGTATCCTGATGATTAGCTGTTTCTTGATGAGCAACCCTTATTCGCTTTTTACTATTAATGATAGTTTGAGTTCCTGAATCTCGTTATTTAATATGGTCCTTTTGTTGAAGTGCAATTTTCTGGATTTCTTTAGCCTCTGTTTCACTGGGACTCATTTGATTTCACGTTATCTAGTGCTTACCCTTATTCATCCAGTCTCTTGGTTGGTCTGCTTTTAACCAAAGCATTCTCATCAGCAAAACCATCCTTGACCTTGAATGATTACTGTGCTTGGATCAAGTCTGTAGTGTCTTGAAATTCCTTTCAAGATTGTTACTTTCCCACCGTGTTTGAGTTATTAAGTACATCATTGGCAGTGTGACTGATGTGGGTGTGTATTATTTGTTGTAGGTCTCTCTCCATAGATACTCCAGATTCTCTTTATGAGAGAGATCTGGTAGAAGGAGCAGGTAAAGTTAGCCGAGGTGGAGGGAGCTTCAAAAACCATGACTCCAGTTTGGTTGTAGAGCAGAGGTCAAGTCCATTGAGAAGAGAAGCAGTCAACAGGTACTCATATTTTGTGTGGAATGTTTAACTTTGTCAGTTTTTGCTTAGATTGGATGATTAATACAATGTTATTTGATGTGAAGGTCAACAGAATAACTCAGATTCTATGTGCAGTAATGTTCTTAGTACTCACAATTTGGGCATATACTATATACTTGTGAAAGAATGGGATTCTCAGTTTCATTTGTATACGATTTTTTTTTTCTCTTCTCTTTGCTCGTTGGTACTGTAATACTTGATTTGCAATAATCAGTTCGAGTCTGTTGTTTTATTTTCTATGGGGACAGGTCAGCATTTGCAATGAAGACACATGAAAATGGAGAAATTGATTTGGAAGATGGAAAGTTGGAAAAGCCTATAGATAAACTTATGCGCAGTAACAAAGTAATTGTGCATAATCAGGCCTTATTAGCTGGCCTAGCATATTGTATTTCTTCGTGCAGCATGATACTGGTCAACAAATTTGTGCTTTCCAGCTACAACTTCAATGCTGGTATATCTTTGATGTTGTACCAGGTAAAGTTCTGAAACTACATCAATCCAAAACTTGGAGTACTTGTCTCTTCTAGACAGAAAATGTGTACTTCTGACCAACTCACGGCACCTTTCTCGGCTGATGCAGAACTTGATTTCAGTAATTATCGTAACATCATTGAGCCTCCTGGGGGTAATCTCAACAGAACCACTAACATGGAGATTGATCAAAGTCTGGTTGCCTGTTAATGTCATATTTGTTGGAATGCTCATCACAAGCATGTTTAGGTATGGTTATTCATCATCATGCGAATTAGTTTTTTCCCCTTCTCTTTTCCAGAAAAGTTGGTTTGTTTTGGATATTTTTACTGAATTAATTTTTGTTGTGTTGCAGTTTGAAGTATATCAATGTTGCCATGGTCACAGTTTTGAAGAACGTGACTAATGTTATCACTGCAGTTGGCGAGATGTATCTATTCCAGAAGCACCATGATAATAGAGTGTGGGTGGCTTTATTCTTAATGGTATGTTCTGTCTGTAGATGCATTTTTTGGGAGGAAAAGGGGATATTGAAGAAAGTGATTAAGTCAAGAGTGCGAGATAATTATTAAAAATGTCCCCCTTAAACTTAGGCCTCATAATCAGTTATCTTTCTGTTTTCAATTGGGGTAGACCACAGATTATATAGACTTCTTGATGACCTTCGACTTAGTCGCATCTCATTTATGGCTATGCTGAAGTGTTTTCAAGCAACACTGGAACCCTTTTTTTTGTTGATTGCAGATTGTTTCAGCCATTTCCGGAGGACTCACCGATCTCTCTTTTCATGCTGTTGGCTACACATGGCAAATCATTAACTGTTTTTTGACTGCATCATATTCGGTGAGTACAGAAAGTCGAAGGCTTTGGTGATAAACTTAGCTACGAGAATCATACATGTCCTACATCATCTGCAGTGAAAACTTGAACCTCTTAACTCCTGCAAAGGGTGAAATTAGTGATGATTGGTTGGAAGGCTTGTCATTGTTCCCTTTGTGATCCTCTTTCTCTACTGTTGCTGCAGCTCACTCTACGTCGGGTGATGGACACAGCAAAGCAAGTTACTAGATCTGGGAACCTAAACGAGTTCTCAATGGTCATGCTCAACAACACTCTTTCTCTTCCTTTGGGCCTTGTTCTCATATTTGTATTCAATGAGGTGGACTACCTCACAACAACGTGAGTTTCCTTTTTCTTCCTCTCCAACGTCACTGCTCATAAGTTATTTCAAGCCCACTTTTTTATTAAAGCAGGGAGAAATTTGTGGTAGGTTAAATCAAATCCGAAACCAATTTCCATGTCGAAAACCAAATTATTTGGTATCAATATTGGTTTCTATTGTTGATCTTAAAAATTTGTTCCATCCGAAGCTTGCCTTTCTCTGTTCACGTAGTTGTTTCATATTCTTCAATGGAGCATTTGCATTGTCTGACTAATTTTTCGAATTCAAATCAACAGGCCCCTTTTGAGATTACCAGTCTTCTGGCTAGTAATGACGTTGAGCGGGTTCTTGGGCCTCGCTATCAGCTTCACGTCTATGTGGTTTCTTCACCAGACAGGGGCTACCACATACAGGTAACTAACAAATAGTTGATGTGGATATCTACTCAATCAAACTAAGGTTTCATGTTTCCTCATCGGTTTTCTCTCTGTGTTGAAAATCTCGCAGCCTAGTTGGATCATTGAATAAGATTCCTTTATCTCTTGCTGGCATCCTGTTGTTCAAAGTACCTACAAGCTTGGAGAACTCTGCCAGCATCCTCTTCGGTATGTACTCTTACACACACACGCACGCTCTCTCTGCTTATGCAGCATGTCACTTCTAAACAACGTCTTTCCCCCTTTCTCTTCAGGTTTGTTGGCTGGAGTATTTTTCGCCAGAGCTAAAATGCGTGAGAGACCATAATTTGGTGACTGAATCTGATGGCAAAACTGCTGATGCATACAGCATTAGGTATCTCCCTCCTTAGCTCATGGAAGTGCATGAAACCCTGCTAACTTCGAGAACCACTGGTCCAAATAGATTTTGTACACTTATTTACCAAGCCGCCATCTGGGTCAGCTGCTACTACGCCTTAATACTTCTGCAATGGAATGCGAGGTCTGCATTCCCTCTTTACTGCCATCCATTTTGCTTATGAAAATTGATGTATGTATCTGTGTGTTTTTTGTTGGGCAAGACGCCCATTGTATCAGCTCTTTCTTCAACTGGCCACTGGGTGCTTCTAGGATATGATGATTAGGTCCGAGAAATGGCCATTTGCATTGTAACTTATATGAACCGAACCCTTGCTCAAGGGAACTAAAAACGAATGAACAGCAAGAGGATCACGATAACCTCTGTTGATCTCCTCAGTCACGATAACAAATATACAATACAATGATAAAGTATCTATACATTAGCGGAAGTACAGGTACTATAAAATTTTGGCAGATCGAACAAAACTTGTTTAGCTTTAGGACGCAGCAGAGTTTTCGGTTACAGGTGAAGATTCTGGCTGGACCTCTGATTGAGCCTCTACCTGGGGAGCTTCTGATGCAGCGGACTCTGTTTCTGTCACGGCAGATTCTGTCTGCACGGGTTGCGCAACAGACTCCGGTTCAGCCGGTGCTGCAGCTTGGACGACCTCCGGTGGCTTGAACTTGTTGATGTAGTAGGTCAAAGATGGGCCGTTGTATGCAGCCGTCTGCACCTGAGGCGGCGGTGCGTTCTTGTTGACTTGAAGCAGAATCGACGAAGCAGCTGCGATGGCAATCAGGGCAAGGCCGCCGGAGATTGCAGCTGTGTTTTCAGCTCCGCTGGATGAAGAACCAGCAGCGCCTGAACTTATAGCACTCTCGGCTACATAAACCGTCGGCTGGAACACAAAAAACAAAAACCCAATAAGGGTTTGGATTGATTATTATTATCCATAGGGACAATAGGTGAATGCATGAATTCACGAGAATACCTCGACGGAGTAGATATTGGTCTGCCCGGCGGTATCTTTCTCGACGTAGCCGGTGTACGGACGGCCACGAGTGCGAGGTGGGAACGTTCCCACCACTTTGGTTTTCTCCTCGGCTACCCAATCCATGCTTATCTTTCCGACCTGATTAATCCCAAACCCACAGACCACAACCAGTAATCGCATCGGGCACTAACATTTCGGGTCACAGACATAATAACAAACACCTTACACGCAGGCACCAAAGGGGAGGAGCACAAAAAAGTTGTAGAATTTTTAAGAAAATAAGCGAGAAATTTTCGATTTTTGGTAGAGCCCAACTCTCACCTCCTTCTCAGGAGCACATTCCTCGGTGTTGCAATCGGAATCGACCTCGGACGAAGAAGCTCTGACGGTGAAAAGCTTCAAACTTGGCCGCCTGCCGCTCTGGAAACTAGGCCATCTCCTGTTTGAAGCTGTGAATGAGCAGGCGTTGGCTGATGATATGATTGCCTGCGAAGAAGAAGCGCATGCTAAAGCCATGACCTTTCTCCCCTCTCTCGCTCTCTATCTGCTTCCTAGAATTTACCTCCAGACAGAGAGCAGTTGGTTCGAAAGCCGGATTGCCTGAAATGGAGGAGGAAATCGAACCCAATTGAGCAAATAAGGCTGATGAGAATCTGAAGTAAATTTTCAGAGAATCGTGTTCGATTGGAATTGAGACGACGGGAGAGAGTGAGAGAGGCAAAGGTTCTTGCCAGTTTTCGGATTGAAGTAGGAATTTTGTGTGGTGGAATGGAAACGGAGCAGGCTTACGTGTCACGTCCTAAGGAGTTGTAAGTTGGAACCATGGATACGTCTTGGGCCTTAGGACTAGGTGGATACCCCAGTATCGTAACCCAAATTCTTTGTGAGTTGGAGTTTGGACCTTTCCCTTTCTCCATCTGGTCTCTTTCTTTCTTCCTGCTCTAACGCCGTTGGACCGACGCATGTAAGAATGATAATATGGATTCACTTCCCTTTTGGTAGAGGGCCTAGGCTCTGCAAACGAGCCTAGTCGAGTTTTTGCTTAGTTTGACCTCGGTTTGTTTATAAATTTTTTAGTTCGAGCTCGGCTCGAACTCGAGTTTTGATCATGCTGCTCGATCTCGACTTGATTAAAAATAATTCAGCTCGATCTCGGCTCGATAGAGTTCGGTAAATGCTCATTAAGACAGCTTGTCAAGCTGAGTACAAACTCGGCTCAAGATAAGCTCGATTTGAAACCATTTTTGCTGAAAATGTGTACAAATAAGAACATTAGAAATTAAAAATGATAAAAAGAACACTAGAAACTAAATGTAACATCTAACTTCCATACACATCCTTATTAACAAAATAATTTTCATGTTCAGAAGAGTAATTAATCCTTCCACAAGCTTTAAACAAGCTAACTCGCGAGCTTAGCTCAACAAGCCACCGAGTCAAGCTAGCTCACGAGCTTATCAAGCCGACCATGGCCTAGCTCAAGTTTGGCTTGTTAAACAACGAGTCGAGTGTCGAATGAGTTTTTTCCGATTCGAACACCGAGTTGCTCACGAGCGGCTTGACTCATTTGCAACCCTAATAGAGGTAGAGCCATAAACAAGGATGTAGACCAGCTGTCTACTGTCTAGTCATAGGTTCAGTGGATTAAAGGGGTGAGTTCCACACTTCTATTGGTTATTGATTGTAGTGGCGGAACGAGAAATCTGAACGAGGAAGGATTAATCATATACGTTCAAGGAATTTGAACCATAGAGAGGGGAGAGGAGCGGGGTGCTAAAGTCTTACCATCCTACTCTATTTTCGAAATGGGTTACAAACTTTACATGTAGTAATTTACTTAATTCTGAAAGTACTACATCCCTTCTTACCAACCAATAACGTGGCTCTTTCACTGATTTACATAGGTCTCGACCTTCCCTCCTCCAAATCAACATTTTACTATGAATTTGTTGGTAACCATATTGATTATGGAAGTCGGCCAATGGAGCTACCCAAAAAATTGGGAACTGATCCATCTAAATTGGTTAATGTGGAGGAAAATCACATCTGGGTGCTCGTTCAAGAGGGAGATATCGAGGATGGGGTTGGAGGAATCGAATTGCTACTCGAGATAAGGAGATTGAGGATCGTAGGATGGCAATAACTTGGAAGATGTCATGGAGTTGGTTGTTGTTGGTGTTTGATTCATGAACCAAAAAGAGATCCCATAAAATGATTTATGTAATATAGTTTCGAAACGAAATTTACGAGCTCAAAATTTTAAGAAACAAAGTGTAATCAAACCTACTCGATTTATCGTGACGTATTTGAGCATACCATCAATGCTTTTGTTTTCATATCAAACACACCAAGTTTGTTGTAATTAATGTACTCAATCACCGTTTTAGATGACTACAAATTGTGAATCTCACTCCATATACAGGAGGGGGAAAATTAACCCATCAAATAATTAATTTTTAATTCTAAAGTTATAATATATGGTCTCTATCTTCACATCTATCAAAATCTATCTTTTTCCTTATTCTCATTTTATTCTATCTTAACACTATTAGAGACGAACATAGTTACTTATTAGGGGCTTACTCAAAACTATGGATGCGCTCATTGGTCTTCAACTTGCATGGGATACATGCTACATACAATTCATAGGGCGTGTCCTCTTTACAAAATAAATTAAATAAAAATAAAAATAATTAATAAAAATAAAATTGTAAATATGAAAATACCTTACTCGTACATGTTAAAAAAGTCCATGATGTGTTTTCATATTCGAAAATAATTGTAGAATACACTTGGTGTCTATAGTGTTAAAAAAATTGTCTCTATATACACTACTAGACAATCATTCACGAACTTTATCACATATTCGATTTGTAAACTTGTTCTTGATGTAACCCAAAGCTGAAAGACTCTTTCAACACTTGTCATACAATCATAAAATCAATACAAATTAAGGGTAGTTTGAAATTAGTTTAATTGTTAGGTTTTTAAAATAATTAGAGATAAGGAATGCCATTTTACTATTACACATTGGTCAAAATCGAACAACAAATGAGTTTAGCTCAACGAAAATTAAGTTTATTAATAATAATAGTGTTCTAGATTTAAATTATCCAACCTACCACTTATATTCCTATACACAAATGACAGTAGGATAATCATTTTTTCAAATTTAAGGGGTGTCCCTCACTATCAGTTATATTTTTTTTTTTGTCCATACATAAATTACCACTGGGGTTGGATAATCGTTTTCCCAAAATTTAGGGGTATCCGGGGACACCCCTAAACCCCCTGGGTCCGCCCCTGGCTACATACATGAAAGTTGAGCTCGAGCTCGGCTCAACCATGGTTATCCACCTCATTTCTGTGGACCCTGCAATTGATCACCAACATGCAAACGTCGGTTTTTTTGTTCGAGAGCTCTAGACTAGAGGTATTGGAAGATTCCAACTATGATAATTTTCATAAGGCAAACTTTTTAACATACAGTAGTTGATCATAAGAGGTCACGGTATAACTGATACTCATTTTATACTCTCTTTGAATTTCATGATAATATTTGACTTTTGTACATCCTTTGTTTCATTAATATTTATTTATGAGATGGGCATGCATGATAAATTAATGAAGTATTTAGAACACACTTGATTTGCAATCAATTAGGGCAAAGATGAACACTTTTCAAGTTTACAAATCATCATCGTCACACTAAACAATTGCGTTCTTGAAACAATGAACATGAGAGTCCGGCCCCATATCATAAATGGATTCTCGCCTACCACTTTTCCTGCCATTTAATAACCATCCTTCTCAGTCTCCCTTATTAATGCAATTTTATTACAACTGTATCTGAATCTCTATCATTCTCAAAGCGTTGAACATCAATCCCAAAGCTCCATCCCCTGGCCGGCCACTGCAGTCTCTTGATCCCATCCCACCTCTCATTCAATTTACAATTCACATCACTCCACTCTCCTCAGCGACCTCTCCCTTTCCCTACCATGTCCCCCGCCGATCCGCCGGTCTCGGCCGCCGGCGTCGGCCTCGGCTACGGCATCGCCATCGCCGTCAGCTTCCTCGTCCTCATCTCCACCATTATGCTCGCTTCCTACATTTGCGTCAGGCTCAAGACCAGCAGCGGCGGCGGCGGCCGAAGTTCTAGAGACCACAACGACGACGTCGCCGTCAGCGATTACCGGTACCAGCTCCACCACCATCTCCGCCGCGACAACTCCTCGTCGGAGGCGGCGGTTGAGTTCGTGGCCGGGCTGGATCCGAAGTCGATCGAGTCCCTGCCCAAGATTCTGTTGGGGGAGAGCAAGCGGCTGCCCAGGCCCAACAGCGGCGGTCCATGCGCCATCTGCTTGTCCGATTACCGGCCCAAGGATACGCTGCGGTGCATTCCGGAGTGCAACCACTGCTTCCACGCTCTTTGCGTTGACGAGTGGCTCCGGATGACCGCCACGTGTCCTCTATGCCGGACATCTCCCGCCCCGTCCCCAGGTCCGACCCCGGTGGCTTCTCCGTTGTCGGAGCTGGTGCCGCTCGCCGTTCATGTCGTTAGGTAAATTATTAGTTATATTGGGGATGTTCTTAGATTTTCCCAATAGAGTTTGATTTTCTCTTTTTTTCTTCTTCTTGATTTCACAATTGGTTTTGTGTGTTTCTATACTTTGCTCTCGTATTAGTTCTCACGAGGTGCTCAAAATTGGTGATGGCTTGAGGATCAGGGCAACTTTTTGTGAAATGTAAATGTCAAGATGGCGGGGACTTGACTTTAGTTGGAAGAAGTTGGATTCTTCAATTTTTGTTCTGTATAAGAAATTTTTTTTTTGTTGGTAAATGGATGCAGCGCATCTCAACTTTCATTCACAACCAGTCGGGCTCTGAAATCCCCTGACAGTCATACAAAATGTAAAGGTACAGAATAGGATCGGAACAAGAAATAGAGTGCATACCAAACGACAAATTATGTCCACGACTAGCAAGGAAATCTGCACACTTATTCGCCTCGCGGTATATGTGGGTGATGTGAACTTCCCACTGATGAGTGAGCAGCTCTTGGAATCTCTGAATAATGGCTGCATGCTGATGATCAGGCGCATCCAGGCTCTGAAGAAGCTGGACTGCGCAGCGAGAATCCAACTCAACTCGGACACTTCTAAACCCCATGTCCCAAGCCAACTGTAAACCTTCCATAACGCCTCTCAATTCTGCCCGGGTGATAGAGCACATCCCTAGGTTCATCGCAAACGCTGCTAGACAACGTCCTGTGTGATCTCGAATCAAGCCACCAGCAGCCGCGTGTCCTGATTCGGTAGTAACGGAGCCATCCGAATTGAGAGTTACCCACTCGGGAGGTGGTGGCTTCCAAGAGATCTCCACCTCCGTTCTGATGGGCAGACGAGGCGAGTGGATTAGCCTGTCTTTGTCCTGAGCATTCCGCACGACATTTATCCATGCCCGCACGCGCTGAAGGAAGGTTTCAGTGGTCACGATCTTACCCGCGAAGACTCGATCGTTTCTGGTCCTCCAAAGGGACCAGCAGATAATACCAAACTCGAGGCTGGTGTGTTCCTGTCTTATATGGTGAAGGATCCATCCCTGAAGCTGGGCTCCAAAGAACCGATGGTGATCAGAAGGTTGAATGACATGCATCCAAGTTAACCTGGAAAATTCACAGTCCCGCAACACATGCAGGACTATTTCCGGAGCCGCTTTGCAGTAGGGGCAGGTTGCTGAAGAAGTGAGCTGGCGACAGTGACGTTCCCCGTTGGTGAGGAGCCGTTCCCGAGCTGCAAGCCACAGGAAATGGGTGATGCGCGCCGGGCCCCGCCACCGCCAAATGGACCGCCAATCGAAGCTGTTCGCCCCCTCCTCACTACTCCGAGCAAGGTTATAAGCAGATCGAACGCGGAACCGACCATCTTTTTCAGGGCCCCAAGTAGGAATGTCGCTTCCGGAGTTAGCTTTAGGCGGCTGCACTCCAATGACCTGCAAAATACATTCGAGTCCACCAAGTCAATCAGCATCTCTCCGGAATCCACCCATCTATCAGTCCAAAAGTTGGTATCCCGCCCATCGCGAATACTCATGTGTGTCCCCCGAGCCATGATCGGCCACGCTTTGCGAACCCCCCGCCAAAGGTTTGAAGCGCGGGCCATAGATTTAGCTTGCATTTCTCCATGAACCTGCTTGAAATACTTGGCCTGCAGCACTTTCACCCACAGCTCATCAGGTTTTTTTTATAAACAACCAAGCCAATTTAGACAAAAAAACAAGATTTAACTCCCTCGCTTTTCTGAGGCCTAGTCCCCCTTCTTCTTTTGGCCGACACACCGCCTCCCAGTGGACTAGATGGATTTTGCGAGCCTCGGCCGTTGATCCCCAGATGAAGCGCCTAATACGCTTGTCAATCTCATCACATATTGAGACTTGCAGTAACGTGGTTTGCATGGCATAGGTTGGAAGGGAGCTTAACACCGACATGGCAAGGGTAACCCGGCCCGCCAAAGTGAGTGACTTAGTCTTCCAACCTGCAAGTTTGTTATCCAGCCTGTTTAAAATGTATTTAAACGTACCTTTGGTAACTCGCCCATGCAACACTGGTACACCAAGGTAGCGTCCCAAATCTTGAGTAGGTGGGATACCCAACTGCTGGATAATAGCCGCACTAACCTGCCTTGGCGTATTACCCGAGAAGTGCACTACGGACTTATCCTTGCTTACCTGCTGCCCCGATGCCTTGCAAAATCTATCCAGGCACTCCATGACCACTTCACCCTGGCTGAGACTGGCCTCTGCAAACAGGATCAGGTCATCCGCAAAAAATAAGTGAGAAAGAGGAGGCCCACCTGGGCAAAGTCGGATCGGCTTCCACTTCTTCTCGCAGACTGCTTGTTCGATAAGGTGGCTGAGCTGCTCCATGCACAGAGTGAAAAGGTACGGCGATAATGGGCATCCCTGTCGAAGTCCCCTAGAAGGGACGAACGGCTCTGTACGCGCACCATTCCAAAGAACCTGAAGAGAGGACGAGGATACACAATGCATGATGACGTCGACAAGTTTCTCCGGGAATCCTGCTACTTGCAACGTTTCCCGCAGAAAAGCCCAGCTCACCCGGTCATAAGCCTTAGCAAGATCAATCTTCAGCACCATACTCCCCTTCTGACCCTTCCGAAGGCGCATCGAATGTACTACCTCTTGAACAATGATGATATTTCCTGAGATATGACGGCCCGGGACAAAGCTTGTTTGCGTTGGGTGTACAAGCTGGCGCATCCAAGGTTTTATCCTGTTGGCAATACATTTGGCGAGCGTTTTGTACACCACATTGCACAAGCCAATTGGTCTGAATTGCTTGATAGACTCCGGGCTCTCTTTTTTTGGAATCAGGACCAGCAACGTACTATTCACCTGCCCAATCACTTGAGGATGCTCAAAGCAATCCGCGACAAACCGAGTAAAAGAAGCCTGGACTGTGTCCCAGCATTTCTGGAAAAAGAGTGGTGGGTAGCCATCCTTCCCCTGTGCTTTGAGACTCCCCATACTTCTCACTTCCATCCAGACTTCCTCCATCGAGATCGCGTGAGTCAGAGACTGAGCCTTCTCAAGTGGAATGCACGCAAAACCCGAGGGCAGCCCTGGTGCCTCAGCCTCCTCCGCCGAGAAAAGGGAAATGTAGAAGTGTCGAACTAGAGCTTTCAGTTCCGATTCCTCATAGACCCAGCGACCCTCTTCGTCACGTAGCCCAAGAATCTTATTAAACTTCCTTCGCTTGACTGTGGACAGATGGAAGTATCGAGTATTCCGATCTCCTTCCGCTAACCAGACCTCTCCCGATTTTTGGAGCCAGAGCAGTTGCTCCTGCCATAAGGTGTCATTGAGCTCAACCCGGGTACGTTCTTCCTCATCCAGCGAAAGTTGACTACCACCCCGCTCGTTATTTTTTTCTAGTCTTCGGAGCCGTGATATCAACTGTCTCTTGCGTCCAATAATATGCCCAGACACCTCCCTATTCCACACCTGCAGGTCTTCAGTAAGGTCCTGGAGCTTCCCCGGCAGCTCCTGGAACCCATGCATCACATAGTCTTCATGCCCCAGCCAAGCTGCCAGGAACCGGTACGGTCGGTCTCTTCGGTTTTGTCGAGGAGCCGCCGACAGGGCCAGGATTGGCCTATGATCAGATCCCACCCTTGCCAGATGCTTAGTGGTAATGTCTGGGAACTTCAGCAGCCACTGGCGGTTGCAAAGAACACGATCTAATCGTTGAGACAGGTTCCCTCGACGCCATGTGAATCTCGGCCCCACGAAACCCAACTCATGCAGTTGACATTCATTAACACAACTTCTGAACTGTTGCACTCTAGCTTCCTGGTAGCCGGCCCCTCCCATACGATCAGCAGGTCTCAAGATCGAGTTAAAGTCCCCTATCAGGATCCATGGGAGGGTAGTTTGCCGAGCGAGCCTTTTAATCTCCGTCCACAATGCTGTGCGATTAGCTGCATTCGGGCTACCATAAATTGCCGAAACAACCACTTCTTGCTCCCTGGACCCCCTTCGAGAACAGCTAACGTGTATCATCTGTTCCCATTCATACATCGATGTTACCTTTAGATTGACCTTACTCCAAAGAACCTAGATACCCCGTGCGTATCCCACTGCGTCCACCATGGCTACACCATCAAAACCTGTTCTCTCGATGGCTCGCCGCGCCGTGTCCCCACTAATCCGCGGTTCAACGATAATCACCATGTTAGGGTTATGATCCTGACAAAACAACAACAATTGAGGAATAAATAGATCATTACCTGCCCCTTGGCAGTTCCACGATAGTATGTCTAACATAAGAAAACAAAGGAAGATTGGAAACAAAATTAGCACGGGAGAGAGACTTCCCAAAACAAGCGGATCCCCGCAAGTCAGTTAAGACTAGAGTCCAGAGTCGGGGAAAGCCCCTTCTCCACGTCACTAATCTGGGTACTCGAGGTCGGAGTCGACCGCTTTGGTTTGGGCCCTTTGGGGGCAGTCGTGGTTCCTCCTCCATCATTGCCTTGTTTATCTTTACGGCCACCCTTGGTAGTGCTTGACACAGTCCGCTTTCCCGAGTCCTTCCCTTGCACGTTCGTTCTCCCCTTAGCTGAGCCTACAGGCTGGTTTGGTTGAGCTCCCACCTTGATTGCCAAAGTTGGGGCAGCTCCTTTATCGAGAAGAGTGACTGGGACATTCACGAGGTTCTCCTCCTTCCCCCTCATAGAATCCGTGGTCATTACATGAGTCAGGGTCGCAGGACAGGTAGGTTGACTTTGCCCTGTAGCTGCGCCGCTAGCACTATCTGTCGGGGGACGAGTGGGGTGGCCCTCATTAGTTTCGAGCACCCTCTGGGCCGAGGGGATGATTGGTGGGGCATCTTCCCTGGGACTTGTTTCCCCCGTTTCCATTGCCAACACATCAAACCGTGAACCCGTTCCTGCACCATCACTCCTTTCTGTAGGTTGCTGCTGCGAAGGTTTACCTGCAGGATATCCCGGGGCACGCACAGGTTGTTGTTGTTGCTTGCTCTTCCTTTGACGCGGTTTGGCCATCATCCATTCCCCGTAAACTCGTTTTGCTTCCACTGGTTCTGGTATCACTAGCGTCGGAGTAGATGGGCTTCCCCGCATGAGTAGTGGGCAAGTCGTACTCCGGTGTCCATATTTCCCGCATTCCGAGCATATTTGGTGGAGCCCCTCATACTCTATGTAATACGTAATATCCTCGACCTTGTATTGGGAGAGAAGAGGCTTCTCCAGGTTAACTTCCACGCTTACTCGGGCATATCCTCCCCGGTCCCCATTCAGTGTTGCACGGTCCACACGAATTGGGCGGCCAATTCGACTTGCTATTTGGACGACGACTTCCTGATCAAAAAATTCAACCGGTAGGCCGGGGAGTCTCGCCCAAATTGTTGTCATTGCTACCGCGGCCGTTTTGGCATTAAAATTTTTCCTCCAAGGGCGCACGTTATGTAATGGTCTCCAATCAACCATGGCCCACCGGCCGCTGCCTGTTCAAAGTCGAACTGGCTCGAGAACATCACTACGTAGAAACCCCCGGTCAGGCTCGAGACCTGGAGGATCCCGTGCTTTGCCCATAAGGTTTCGAGACGTTTGGATAGGATAGGGAATGGAAAAGTCCGACCCAGCACTTTGACAATCAGGGACGAACGCCACTTGCGTCTCCATCGGAGTTTGTCCATGGCCTTGAACGCAATGGTGGGGCACCTTGGATCATCGTCCTCGGGTACTTCGTCATCGAGATCATCCTCGCGCATAGCTGCTGCTACATCTTCTGAATCTGAGTCCGCTACATACCAGGTATCCTGCGGCAGGGGGTCGCTGAACAGATTTCTCGCCGTCTTCGTCTAGGCCGAGGGTTTTCCCTTGGCCGCCGACGGACTATCATGCTGAGCATGCTTCTGTTCGTCCGCTGATTCCTGCCTGACATCATGCATCTCAGCCTCCATCGTTTCAAACAGAGGGTTGCTATTCATGGCCTTTGACCGTTTCTTCAGTTGCTGGGTCTCCTTCTCCGCTTTGCTGTTCGGGGAAGAAGAAGTCGACGGGGACGGCGGATCCCCGAGGCTGAGTCCATCATCTGGTCCGTCGGGGGTCCATCCC